TTGAAGACCATTATATTTATGAACTATGTTATGCAATTGATCTGAATATCCCCCAAGACGATGGTTCTTAGCCTTTAAGTTCAGTAACTTCAAATATTTACTACAATTGACCTTTATTATTGCTTACCTCTCAGCGTTTGCCTTTGCCTTGGTCACATTATGTACTGTCTTTCCCTTCACCCGAACAGACATAAGTCTACAACTGAATTAGTGATTCTCTCTCTTTTCTTCCAGACCTGCTCATCTTCAAAGAATGTTCCTTTTATATGTAAACCTATTCTGGATGTTTTATAATAGTGGTCTTACACTATATATGTCTTTTTTTTTAATTTGTTTACAATCATTGATATATATTGTATGTCACACATGTAAAATATGTTTTATATATCTTTCACTTACATTGTACTGTTGTTGTCACTGTTAAGTACTGTTGAGTCAAGTTACACTCATAACAACACGAACAACAGATCTGAATTCTGTCCTATCCTGCGCCATCCTCACAGTCTCTGACACACACTTGAGCCCATCTATCTGGTCTAGAGTCTTTTTCGTTCCTTCACCTTCCTAAGTATGATGTCCATCTCCAATGAATAGCCTCTCCTGCTAACATGCCCTGCCACGGGCTGCTCCAGTCGGGAGGGGCTTGTAAGCCTGAGGTCTAGGGTCTCGAAGAGGGAACAGGAAGGTGGATAGAAGTTCGGCGAAGGGACGATGAAAGAACACAAGACAAACAGTCAAGTGATCTTGATGGTTTTAATTCTAAGTCATTCTAATTCTCCTTTTTCTTTCTTCCTTTCCTTTCCTTTTTCCTGCTTATTACATTTTACATGAAACATTTATATTCCATTTTTACAATTAGAGGCTTAATCAACAGCCAGAAAAACAACAAAAGTAAGAATAAAGTTTACATTAATTTCTTGCACACAACTCTTCTTTATAATCATGGTTCCTTGGAGAGCATGAAAGGCTATTCTTTATGGTCATGGTTTTTTGGTAATTGGAGAGCTTGGTAGACAACGGCTTTTCGCTTAAACATTTTTTTTTAAAAAACCTGTTTTTAAACCTGTTCTTCAACTTGGTTTGGTAGCAAAGTTACAAAGTAAAAAAGTTACATTTTAAATTTAAGCTGATACATTTTACATTTTTAGCTGAATTTACAATATTATTTATTTCCATTCAAAAGACAACACTTTTACACTTTCCATTATT